CTGAAAGATACATCTGGAATCTACACAGAGTAAGTTTTTTTTCTCCCAATCTTATTGGGTTGGGAGATTGGATCTTCCAGATTGTAAATTTTTCAAACGAAGCAAGGCCCCTGAAATTGATGCAGCCCATAAATGCTATGATTTTTCCTTGAAGCACATTCATTTAACCCTCATTTTTAGAAACAGTCGAACTAGACAGAGTCATTGGAAATAATTTGGACAGATCAAATTTTGGTGAAGAAGAATTGGGGGAAAGCTCCCACAGTCATCATTTGCTCTCACATGTGATAAAACTGATAAGAGCTGATATGTGCTAAAGATATCGACATCCTTAAGTAGTAGAGAGCTCTTCACTGTAAGTGAAGGGTCATACCCAGGCATGGATATAATAGTCTCCCACCTAAATACGTATAATTTAGTCTACTCGAAAAACTTACTTTAGTCTATTCAAAAACATTAATTTAGGCGAATTTAGTCTCCTTACAAAGTTCATTTAGGCTAATTTAGTACACTAAAAAGGAAATTTACATCAATTTAATTTCTAAAAAATTAATTTAGGCTAATTTAGTTTACTAAACTTTTTTTTCAGAGTAAAAATTTTTCAAATTTTTTTTCTAAAAAAATTACATTAATGTATAATTTTTTTTAAAAAAATCCGTCAATTCTACATACGTGTCCACTCTCCATTGCTTATAAAATGTACACGCCAAATCGTAACTACCTTAATTTAGTCGCCTAATCACCATCAAGTTTAGGTAATTTAGGCGACCGTATATACGATCGCCTAATACAACCATGCCTGGTCATACCCGTCGGAAAGCACTCCAGCCTCCGGCCCGCTGTTCTTCCTGCTTGATCTGGTTCAGCTACTCTTCCCCTTTCTAATGACATTTTGACAATCTTGAGATACTGTTGGATCCAAATGAACTCCATGAACTCAGCAATGTTTTCAAAGAGGTATGCGGCAAGAGCTCCTCCACCATTCGCCCTGGAACTTTTTGTCCTCGCAGCTATGTGTGTATATATATCCGCTGTCCGATCCTCCAGCAGTAACATCCATGTACTGATCCATAGATTTTTACATGTATTCTTTTACAGTCTCCTCATGAGAAACCTTCGCTGTCATGTTTTAGCTCCTTGGCCTTGGTTGACTGATGTATTTGCATCTTATTCTGAAACCTTGTGCTCATACACCCCTTGGAAAAACCACATTGTTTAGAACTTTATGTCCTTTTTGTCTACGACAGGTAGCGATCTCATCTATCTTTCTCCATCTTTCATTTTCGACTATTAGAATTGGAAAAACATATCAGATCCATGACAAGGTTTATATTTACTCCGGATGAAGCTTTATATCCAAACACATCTTTATTCAATTGTAGACTCAGTTCTAGTTGTATCACAAAGTACCTACCGTCTCTTGATGATTGAGTGAAGGAATTAAGTAGCAAATTTAAGTCCGAAAAAGGGTAATACCCTTTTTCGGACACGTGGATTTTTCATCTTTATGCTCGCGCTACAAATATAATCTCAAGTCAGTCAAATGTTGAGGACGAGTCCAATTTTGATATCAGATGAATCCGATAATGATAATGAACTCCTAGAAGCATGAACTATTTGCTACTACATTGTTATATGCTGCTTAGTTACCGGTAGTCTTATATAATTGATTAAAACCATTGTTGAAATTAGGTTCTTCAATCAACCCGAATTATTTCAATAAAAATCGGGCTTTTTCCACCCCTGAAACAAAGTAGTTACTTTTTAATTCATACTTATGAACTGTAAACTTTATAACCGGCTTCATTTGTCACGGAAACCCTGTGCACAGACTACATACTTCGTATCAGATCCTCGTGTATTTCCTACTTTGCAAGGAGTGGATATACTGTACTTTCGAAGACATAAAGTGTAATCTCTATGCAGCTGTCACCCCAATCGCCTTTGAAGGTGAAGACAGAGTTACCGCTAGTGAATAGTACTTATGGACCCAATAAAGGGACTGTGCAAAAAATGGACCCAATAAGCTCCACCTCGCAAAGAGAGTTGGTAGGCACTAAATCAAATTCTATAGAATGATCGCAAGGTCTATCAGATTGATCGACCTGGATAGATTACCCTACCTTGATTTATCAAGTTGGATGCAAGCAAAATCATTTGTGATTAATTGTACATTATGGGTTATATCACTTCGTAGAGGTTCATTTTTTCTGTGAATCGATACTTCGAGCAGTTGCTTAATTTTTCTACTCACAACGCATCAATAGTACGAAGATATGATTTCTAATTCAAATTTATTCGATTTAGTTTAAGGGTCCATATAGTCATGCCCTACGATTTATGATAACGTTCATTGAGTGATCTAATAAACTTGTAATCTTTCCAAGATTCAAATGGAGACAGCGCATAGCTTGATACTCCTCTTATTAAAGGAAATTCTTGGTGAGTTGACAAGTGACTTCTTTTACATAGGCAGGATATCCTTTAACATCAAGAGAGCATAAAGATATTTCAAGATATGAGAAAAAATAATTGTAATTTAAATATAAAAATAATCAAGCAACTTGTTATACTAACTTCACAACATCTTAACATGTTATTTTCATGTTTAAAAAAAAAACTATGGCATAAACTGTCCATATATAAAACTTAATATGTAAATTTTTCCAATAATCATATTTGACACAAATTGAAACTAGATAACATATGACTCAAATATTTTATTACATTTAATCAATGAAAATAAGGAATTTTCCTTTTATAAAAATTCTAAACAGATTTGCTCAAATTTTGATTGAAATGCACAAAATCTGATATGAAATAATTTCAAGAAAATTTAGAGCGAATCTGTTAATATCTTGTTGAAGATTATTATGGGTATCAAATTTTAGCTGAAATTTTTTTTAACAAAAATCTGAAGCAGATGAAAAATTCAAATTAGAAAAAACATATACATTCATAGAAATTTTTAAGCAAATGAATCTTGCGAATTTTCACCAAGTTTATCAAATAATATTCAAAGAAGGGTCTAAAAATATTATAAGGATTTATCATCACTAAATATTTGTCAGTGGATCATTTAAACAAGAAATTTGAATATACAAGTCGAAGAACATAATACTCAATGTTTAGAATTTTTGGACTTAAATACATATATATTTTAAAGTTTAATCTCCAATTAGCAAATTAAATCAAACTGAATTTTTTGATACACATTAAATGGGCTTCTTATTGCTCAATCTAATTTTACAGTAAAAGATTTTGACTTAGTTACATTATAAAAGCCAAGTAAAAAATATTTTTATGTAATAAAGTACACTAATTTCATTGATTTAAAGAATATGAAGTCCCTTCGTTCTACTGATGACATTTAACATTAAACTTTTAAAATTTACTATATGCTGAAATGTTTTACAGTATAAATAAATTGTGTACATACTTTCAAACTTTCATACATGCATTATTAAAAATAAATGTTTCGAGTTTGACATTTAAAGTTTTTTTGACTCAGATACCCATTGCCACAATCCAACTCAGTTGCCAATTTCTGCACTGCTCTGAGCGGATGATAGATACTGGTTACAGGGACATCTGCCCTTAAGCATCAGGTCACGTAGTTAGTGGTGCAAGTGAAAATACGAACTGATGAGATCCATTTCGTGATATTGTGGAAAAAAATCATATACTGTATTCTGTCTATGGAGATTCTACTCAGGTAACTCACACCACTGACTCCTACTGCACCGGTACTCCCAAGGATCTTAAGAATATTTAAGAAATCTCGGGGATGTCCTTATCAGAACATGGTGGAGCGTGAAAGCATTTCAAGTGCAGAGTATACTGGTCCTGTCAAAACACACTTATGTTAGTGCCGTAAAAGCAATTTGGGAAAAAACTTTACCAATTTGGGCAAAAAAAGTGGAGTCATTAAAAGCTCACCTAAATGTATGATCTTTTGGTTCATTCATTTTAGGAGAATATATCTTATAATTTTCTCCAAGTTTGTTCTCCTGAATGTAACGATCTCTTCTGTGAGAACTTTAGGGGCTATGTGACAAGCCTTGAACCTCAATGAACAACCTCATAGATCTTGATAACACAAGAACTGGTTGGAGACGATGCTGTGCCTTACTCCAACCGTAATCCACGGATGAAAATGCTATTGTAGATGACAGCCATGTATGACCTTCCAAAATTTCTGTGGAGCTGTTCCTCTTCTTCGTTTTGTGAAGATCTTCTTGCATACCTCTCCTGCGATTTCTAAATTAAATCTGACAAAAAGTCGTTAGCGATAATCTTTCAGACCAATAATAGAATTTGTATAAGATTCCAACCACTATCTCATTGTTATTGCTGTGTTGAATGAAAATTTCTCACCGATATTTCTTCCTACCAAGTGTCTGTCTCAAGAAAGCTCAAATGTTCTGCACTGAATATGGGCGGAATTTATCTGACTGATGAACAACTGTACGAGATCGAAACAGACGAAATGTAAATTAATGGGAAGAAAATCGTATCAATCATGTCTAAACAGCGAAGCAGGCCTGGCAATGTGAAGCAAGTTCGCTAGTGTTACTAACTACTGCAACGGGATTGTAGGTAGAGAGGTCTGAGTTCGTATCGAGATCACAAGGAAGTGGCTACAAGGCTGGAGGGGTATTCGAGCTTCTACCTTGCATCAGTTTAAAATTAACTTTAATAAACTGTCATCCATTAACAAGAAGATACCAATGTGTTTACTGCTGTGAAGAACAAAATTTCTCTTGCTGATTCAATTCTGATCATAAATGAAAAATTTCCAACCAGAATTGAGTTTCGCCGAAAGTTCTCCGAAAAATTGGACGGACCTTCACTGTTCGTCTCTTGTGATACATGTATCAAGCTCCTGGACATTTCTCAAAGGTGTGCACTCAAAGAGCGTGGTAAACTCAAAGCATCCGCTCGGCTCGACGAAGTGCATTGCATTCAAATTCGTCAAATGTACAAATGGGGAGGATGTGAAGCTGAAAATAGATTTACTTTTATATATCAGCCATTGCTAATTGTAAGTATTAATTTGATGTTCATGGCTGCCAACTCTGAGGCAGTATATCTGAAAACGTAAGGCATGGCCACAAGCTCAATATCCCGACTTGAATTGCACACTCTACAGATGACTTTGCTCTCTTTACTTGACCCTAATTCCATAGCAAAAGCTGCACTGCTCTTCTGCTGAATTACAGGTGGGGTAGGCAACAGACTTCCAAATCGAACACAAATGTCCGCAGTTGGATAGTCTGAGCAAGTATGTAGCCTATCATGCAACAAGTACGCTGCACCATGAGCAAGTAACGAATCTCGCTCCATCTCTCCGAAACGAATACCACTTCCAAACTTTCGCCCTTTAACAGGCTGTCGTGTCACAGGATTCACAGCACCAGTGGATCTCACCTAAGGACAAAATTACGGGGTGAACAGGCATTTGGTTATGCATTTGGTACGGCAACAGACAAAACCAAGCATGACACAGAACATAGATCCCATGGTGAACCAAACAACATGACTCAGTTTGGCAAGAAGTCCAGAACGAATATTCCAAATTGCACGAACTTCTTGAGATAAAAACCATATGATTTAAGCCAAGCTTCGCGCACCTGATACTTGTCTCCAACCATATGACGAAGTCATTGATAGTACACACAGCCGATGTAAATTTCACACGTAAGTTCTGTGCCCAAGACACCACTATACATGACTTCTGTGCCATGGTAATTGAAACCGTGATCCTTCAACTGCATCCATACTTGTCGACAAGGGACTCATCCTTGTTTTTATGGCTGGTCTTCGAGTCGGCAGCGCACTTTTAAAATGGAGTAGCATTTATAATCTTCCCTTTTAAAACGCCAACCTGGGAAAAGTTGAGCCGCTCAGAAACCTGACGTATCCTCTTTCTTATAAACAACAAGCAACCGCATTGTTCCTACCATAAAAATAAAATTCTAACTCCAAAAACGTCAGATGATTGATCATCGAATAGCACTATAACTTCGTTTCAGGAGTTGACTTCACAGCCATTGATTACAAGAGCATCCCAATCGTCATACGGAATGGAAAGGCGTGGGGATTGATAATAAGACCAGGTCGCATTCAGCGTGGGGATTTGCTGAATCGGCCTACCAATATTCAACCAGGAGATACCAGCAGTTGAATGCATTGCGTCTGACTTCACTTTGGAAGTACAATAATCTATTTCATTTTCTTCTCAGTTCAAAATATTTGAAACGTAATCTTTGTTTTAGCACGATAGGAAGTTCCAATGCAGCCATGTATTTGATAAGTTGATCTAAGGCTCGCCATCGAGAACAATGATACATATGTTTACATCCGTTTGACAGCTACTAGCCTCAACGTAACTTTCATGGGCCAGATGTGGAGTCCACCAGTCTGATGAATCAGTATCTTCTCAAAGATACAACATTAATTTGCAAGTTCTATCGTTCTAGCTCACTTTTAGTCAGCAAACCAATTTTGTAGCCCTTCTGTAAATCAGTTTAGTGTTGGAAACAGCAACAAACAGAGTTTTTCATCCATGACAGTGAGGCATGGACCGACTTCTCACATCTGCGGGTGAACTGCTTGCATGCAGCAATTTCGACGAATACCTTTCGCCTGGGTTGGAAAGGCAATTCGAGTAGCAAGATCATTGGCTTGAGTCCGAGATTAGTTCTCCTCGTGCGTCGCACATTTATCGATATTTTGTTAAAGACTATCACCTCGTAAGATACGTCGGCGCCGCAGTGATCCATACCCCCTTCCCTGACGGAACCGCATTTACCAATTTTGCAAAGAAAATTTTCATAGATGTAAATTTAGAAGGTATAAATATCACTATATTCCACATTTTCTCTGTCAGTATAGACGATGTGGAAAGTCGAGGTTTATCGTTAGTGAACGATGGACTGGAGCAGCATAGAGAGAAATAAGAGCTCACCTTGCGCGGCCAAATTTCAAAGAAAGAAATGCATAGACGAATGCTTATTCTCTTTTCATTTGGAACGAAGTTTTCAAATATGCACAGAATCTTCTGGGCCAGCAATGTTACACAATTTTCCGAAGTCGAGCCGAGTGGATGCAGTGAATTTACCACGGTCTAGGTGCACACCTTCCAGAAATTCTAAGGAGCTGGAGACTTGTATCACAAGAAACGAACAGTGAGGTTCTAAACTCCAGTTCCATGGTGGCGAGTTTGCAATCGAATCAAATATTCAGATATTGTGATGCGCGTTGACAGGTTTGTGTTCGCATTTGCAAGGTGACCATCCGAGTCATAGCGGTAGATAGAGAAATGGGACATCGGTTTCGAAACAAATAACTTGTACGAAGGGAACTCATTAACTTGCAACGGCCACTGCATGCAACTTGTCGTTGTTGCAAGTATATTCACGCTAGCTCGAGCTGAGAATTTGTAGCCGAGCAGAAGATTGTCATGGCAATGTCTCGAGTCAATAGGTCAATCCGATATTTAAGCATTGTCACGACACATCTGTTGTGCAACGGCATGGCGAGAACGGTGATAAGCGTAACTTGCGTAATTCGAATATGCGTTATTTATCCTTTGACTTGGATTTGTCTGCAGTGCCTGCGAATGTATACACTAGCTCAATTCACACAAGGACCTCGTCCACTTACCGATTATGAATCCAGGAGATAACAGCAGCTGAATTCACTGTGAAGAAACAACCACCCACTTCAAGTTTTCATCGGTTCCAAATATTTGAAATGTAATCCATGTTTTAGAACGATTAGTAATTTCAATGCAGCGGTATTTTGGACCGATCCATCTCAGGCTCGCCATGGAGCATGAAGGGACATTTTTTTACGGCTAGTAGCTATCAAACCGCAACGTATACGTCTTGCGCCAGATCTGGACTCCATGAAAGCAGTTGAGAGGATATCTGACGATTCTTGTTAAGAACAAATTTCAAAGGCAGTTGATTTTGCGGTTGAGAGAAGGAGACGTTGGTCTGAAGCCTCAGGTGACAGCTATAAAGAGGAAAGGTGGTGATCAATCATTATCTTTTCAAGATACAGCATACATTTGCAAGTTCTATCGTTGTCTAAAGCTCACTTTTATCAGCAAACCTTTATTATCGCATTTATGTAAATCAGTTGTGTGTCAAAGTCATCAACATTCATTGTACGACAGTTCGTGCATCGTCAGCCAACTGAGAACAATGGGGTCGAGCAATCGGCCCTTATCATCCTGGCTGTCACTAGCTACTCTAATTGCTACTCTGGCTGTTGTGAGCCAATGCGTGGAGATGCTGGAGATGGATGCGCATGCGTCGTTGACCTTCTGCGAGATTTATGTACTTCCTCGAGGATACAATTGCGAAGAGCATGAGGTTAGTGGTCTTGATTAATAATAGATACTATGTCGGCTCGACTCATCGGTGTTATATAGCAGAGTAGTGACAAATAAATTGCAACTTTCGCTTTTGCTTTGGCATGTTTTAAGAAGACATGGCTTCACTGAGATTGTGCAAGCAGAAGATACCTGAACATGGTCGGTGTATGTGTGATTTGTATACATTGGCAGGTATATTCGGAAGATGGTTACATGCTTCGTCTGCATCGTGTTATACCTCGGGGCAACCTGGACAAGTCTGTGTGGGAATGGCTGGAGCCGGAGCTCCGACATAAGCACAAGCACAAGGGGCCCTTCCATGGGTTCAAGAAACCACGTCCAGCTCCTGAGGCTGTACCCTCGTACACAAGTCCTAGCAGCAGGTCAGAAAGTCCACCATCTCCAAGTTCGCCTCCTTCCTCCTTCTCGCCTCCAGGTGAAGGAGCATATGGAGGACCATCTGCGCCGTCGTCCTCCTACTCTCCACCTAGTGGATATGGAGGTCCCAGTCTCCCGTCCTCCTCCTCGCCTCCAAGTGAAGGCGCATATGGAGGATCATATTCACCCTCGTCCTCCTACTCCCCGCCTGGTGGATATGGAGGTCCCACTCCTTCTGCGTTCTCCCCACCAGGTGCAAGCACATATGGAGGATCGAACTCAGCTCCATCGTCTTACTCTCCCCCGGCAGCCGCTGGATATGGGGCACCCAGTACCGCCGGTTCTAGGAATTCACCACCAAGTGCCGGCGCAATAGGAGGAGGATCTCCATCTCCCACGTCCTTCAACCCTCCTCCTGCCTCTGGCGGATATGGACCAACGAGTACTCCTGGTATGGAGCCATACGAAGGAGTATCCACGCCGCCTTCCTACTCTCTTCCCACTCCTTCAGAATCGAACTCTCCACCAGTTGCAAGGAATTACGGAGAGGGATCGTCAGAACCATCAACTTCTGCTCTCTCTCCAGCACCTGGTGGATCCGGATACGGAGGCTCGCCTCCATTGTCAACGAGCTCCTCACCGAATGGATCAGGAGGATCTACTTCCAGTTCCAGTGCTGAATGTCCACCTGGCTTGTCCTCGCCGAACATTGCTAGGAGGGGATTAACTATCAGCAATGGCCGAGAGCCACCTCGGACTCGAACCCGAAATGCAGAACTCGTCGACCGGGACCCGGTTCTGCTCATGCACCTCGAGCTTCTCAACGGGGCCAGCTGGTTCACGCCCGTGGCCACCGAGAACGACACTTTGCTCCCTCTCATGCTGGTGGACCAGGGCTTCGATGTGTGGATCGGTCACGAGCGGGCGACGCTCTGGAGTCACGAGCATCGGAAGCTAACTCCCAACGATGCTGTACGTGCAACACGATCCTCCCGGTCTGCTGATTTTCGCTTGGAAATTGACGATTTCAGCATTTGTGTGGCGTTTTTGCAAATATTTTCTGGCTCTTGCTAATGACTGACCGGAAGGATACGACTATGCAGGTGTACTGGAACTGGACTTGGGATCAGCATGTAGAGCACGACGTTCCCAAGCTGCTGACATACATCAGCGACGAGACTGGCTCCAGAGTGCATTACGTCGGCGTCTCTCTGGTGCGTGAATGTATTGATTACTGTGATTTCCTCCCTCCCTACAAGTAAGATCCACATTCGGGCTTCGAGCTCAAGCTTATTTGCCGTGACTGGTTGGATGCTTGGATGGATGTATGCAGAGCGCTGCAGTCGGGGCAGCCGCAGCCACGAACGCGGGTGTCGCCAGTCTCATGAAAACTCTGACTCTGATAGCTCCCGCCTTCTATCGGGGGAAGACTACTTCAGAGTTCCTGCAAGCCTGGGATCCTATTCCATTTCCCTCGGTGAGGCTTCCGACCTCCTTCTCCTTATCTGTTTCATTCTGTCAGACTTGATAGTGCTGACTACGGGATTGCAATCGAGAATCGACAATGACAACCGCTGTATTGTGATTACAGGCCTTAGGCACGAGCGACGACGAATGGCACGACAACAGGCTCGGTGCGTTCAACTTTCAGAGGTGGGTATGCATCAGTAGCATGCCTGACTTGACGTGAAATCGAGTATCTTCCATCTGTCCACATCAGCAGCCATGAAAAGATATTTGTGAAGTTAGGAAAGATCCGGAGCTAATACTGTGTGGTAACACACTTTTTGTTTTTTTTGCAGAATTTAAACAATTTTAGAAAACTAGTACCAAAGCAGTGTTTGTAGCTAGAGAAGGGTACGCTAAATAGAGTGGATTGATGAGATCGTCACGAGGGCACAAAGAATCACGTAGTCGGATGTACCAACGCCAACGTCTTCGGCGCCTTCGGCAAAAGCTCCTTCTTGAGGTGTCTCTATTCACGCGCCTCTAGCGTATAAGGAAGCTACGCTTCCGGCGCAGACACCTCAGGAGGAGGTTTTGCTAAAGACGTC